ACATTTATAGCTAAATGGATGCACATTGAGGCGATACTCTTAAGTGAAATAAATAGGACACACATGTGTAAACACCGAATAGTTTCTCTGGTGTGAGAAAATGAAAGTATAAATAAGGACTAATAGGTATAATAGATAATGTGAAGTAGGAAGAAAAGGGGCAAAGGGGAGGCGTAAATGGGAGGGGTAGGGGAAAAGAAAGAAGGGAATGGTTTCAATATGAGAAAATGAAAAAATGGATACAAAGGTTTTGTATATAGGAATGGAGTGGTTGAAGGGAGGGCAGGGGAATGGGGAAGAGATAAGAACCAAGAGAGATTATGTAAAGGTGAAAATTTCCAGTGATGAATGTCATTGTATTGTATAACTAAAATGTACCAATACAATTAATTTTAAAAATATTTAAAGACTATGTAAAATTTGTTGGATCTCCCATACTTGTACATATCCTTAAATATCTCAAAGTGATGGATATTAAGATAATAAGAGTTTGAATATAACTCCCACTTTCAAAGACAGAGTCTCTGAAAGTGAAGAATAAGCATGATAAAATGGAGAATCATGCACAGGTATTAGGACAGACTCCTTAATAATGTTACTTGTGGTGTTTTTCTTGTTACAGCCAGCAGGTGGCCACATGGTCAGACTGCTTCCATTTCTTTATTTGGAGTTGCAGGTTCTATAGGACTTTGGCATAATCCCAAGGTTTTCAACCTTGAGATCAACAACAACCAATAGCTTTTCCTGAAATTGTTAAAGGCCCTTCAGAGCAGAGGATTTCTAAACTGTTACAACTGGCCTGTAAACCAAATTTGAGACTTCAGGACTGTGCCTATATGTCCTTCACTTGGTTCCTTGGGACTTTAATGAGGTTACAGGAACATTTCAGGGCAGTTTATTCATCCTGGGCAGCCCTAAGGGACCTTTATTTTTGTCCCAGTAAAAACAAATCTTACCTTGTTCACCTTCCTCTTCCATCATGAACCTTAAGGGAAGGCTTGGATGCTGGATTTTTTCAGAGGAGTTACTGCTTTTCAAAGAGCTTGGAGGGTGTTGCATCCTCATTTCTGTATTCTGAGAAATCTCCCAAATCTTCCTAGGACATCCAGCCTCAGTCAGGTCTAGGGGATTATGGATCTCTTCCATTTAGTACTGTTCAAACAAGGCTATAATTTTCTTGGCACAATGTGTACTACAACAATTCTTTCTGGAGTGAGTTTCAATCTCAGCATTGTTTTAATTTATATCTCTTGAATGACAAGCGATGTTCAACATTTTTTCATATATTCATTTGCCATTTGTACTTTCTCATCTGAGAAGTATGTATTGATCTCAGATGCTCATTTTTAGATTGGGGGGTCCTGATTTTTAAAATGTTCTAGATATTATAGGTGGATATTAAAGATATATGTTATAGATATTAGTCCTTTGTCTGAGGACCAATTGGCTAAGAGATTTTCCTACTCTGGGTTGTCTTTTCACTCTGTTGGTGATTTCTTTTGCTGTGCAAAAGCTTTTTATGAAGATTATCCCAGTTGTTGATGCTTTGTAGTATTTCCCATGTGCAGGATTTTGCTCATGAAGTCTTTGTCTACACCTATGTCTTCAAGAGTTCTATTTCTGTTTTAATATTTAGATCTTCAATCCATTTTGATTTTAGTTTAGTGCATGGTGAGAGACATGGGTCTAGCTTTAGTCTTCCACATGTGGAAAGTCAGTTTTTCCAGCACCATTTATTAAAGAGGCTATCTTTCTTCCAGTGAAGGTATTTCGCCTCTTTGTCAAACATAAGGTGTCTGATAAGGTGTTTGGAGTTGTATCTGTATCTTTTAATCTGTTCCATCTCACTCCACAAACAATGGCTATGATGAAGAAATCAACCAATAACAAATGCTGGTGAGACTGTGGGGGAAAAGGAATCCTTCTCCACTGTTGGTGGAAATGCAGACTGGTGCAACCACTGTAGAAATCAGTATGGAGATTCTTCAAAAAACTAGGACTAGAGGTTCCATTTGACCCAGCTCTCCCCCTTCTTAGTATCTTCCTGAAAGAATTAAAAGCATAATATCATAGTGATATATGCACAACCATGTTCATAGCAGCACAGTTTGTAATAGCTAAATCTTGGAAACAATCCAAATGTGCATCAACCGATGAATGGATAAAAAGATGTGGGTTTTTTTTATACAGTGGAGAACTACTCAGACATAAAGAAGGATAAACTTGAGACATTTATAGCTAAATGGAAGCACCATACTCATAGTGAAACAAATTAAACACACGTGTTCTCTCATGTGAGAAACTGAAAGGATAAAAAAGGACCAAGATGTATGATAGATATTGTGAAATAGGAAGAAAGAGTTCAAATGGCAAGGGCCACTAGGGAGGGGGGAGGGAGAAAGGAAGGAAGGGAAAAGGGAAAAAAATGAGAAAAGAAAAATAAAATACAAACAAAGCTTTTGTAAATAAGTAGGGGACAGAGGGTTGAAGGGAGGGTAGGGGAATGAGGAAAAAAAAAAGAATTAAGGTATATCATGTACAGGTATAAGTTCCATATGATGAATGTGATCATTACATATATCTAAATAGTACCAATAAACTTATTACAATTAAATTATTATGTATTATGATATATTTGCACAAAAAGATAGTAAAGTGCTATAAAATGTTAATATATTTACCTATAAAAATAAAATAAAATAGTTCCTTCACAGAAGGAATTCATGGAATGCTACCTACCACTGTGTTGGAAGGTTGACCTGATATGATGAGCAAAGCACAATCTGCCCTCAAGGAGCTTTCCACAGCAACACATTTTGCTGGAGATTGAATTTCATTTCTCTTGTTGAATGCTTCAATTTCCTTCCATCTTGTAGTTTCCAAGTATGGGGCTTGTCTTACACCTGCACTGAATGGAATGACCTCTAGTTACATTTAAAATATTTTTAAAATTGGTGGGTGAGTCAATAACTACTGTATATTATTTGTATATTATTTAATTTTATTCTACTATTGTGTCCTAGGTCTACCTTTAAAATTGATGAAAACTATCTTAATTTATATTTTATATATTTAAATATTTTTATATTTATTTATTAATATTGTGTTTTATTGGACTGGTATAAAGTTACATAGAGAATCTGAGGTGTGCATGCTTTTGAAGGTACATGGCTCCTGAAATGCTTGATGATTCAATGAATGTGAATATCTTTGAATCCTTCAAACGAGCTGACATCTATTCTGTTGGTCTGGTTTACTGGGAAATAGCCCGAAGGTGTTCAATTGGAGGTAAGATTTTGGAATTACCATTTGTATATATCTTGGGTTGCTATTCTGAATACAAGATGTGATTTTCTTTTTTTTTCTGAGAACAATATTGAATCATTGAATTCAATATTGAATTCTAAATACCTAGGAAAATACCTTTTGATGGTATGTTTCTAGTGGCAAAAATGGAACATTCTAAATATAATGGAGTTTTTATAATGTCTTTTTTAGATGAGTGACAGCTCTGATAATTCTGATTTCAATACTGATGCTTTGGAAGGCACTTTTATTTGAGTTTTTGTGCAGTTAGTTTGTATCTTTATATCCTGAAGAAGTTAATCTGGGGATAGGGGGATATGGCAGAGAAGGGAGGGAAAGGGGAAGTAAAAAGGATCAAGATGTGATATGTATGTGTACCAATTCCCCAGAGGGAGTGTATTTGTTCTGTATCGCAAGAATATACTAGTAAAAAAAAGGGAAAAAGAAAAAAAAAGAGAGAAGTCAAAAGACTTACCAAAGCCACAGAACTTGAAATCTTCTGTTTCTTGGGCTGTTGCGTTCTTTTTTCCCCCTGATAAATGTAGAGGGATAAAGTAGAGAGAAGAGGGGAACAAAGACACTCTTTCTGTCTCCACTCCTCTCAGGAGTTTAGAAATTAGTAATGACACAAGAAATTGAGAGGACAAAGCTCTGCAAATACAATCTTATGAAAGTACTTCATCAGTGGAGAAAAAGTTAAAGACTGGTAGGAAATGGTTTAGAATTTCCACTTTCAAGTGAGACAGACTCAAGATGAAGCCTTCGATTAGCAATGCCTTGAATGAGATTGTTAGCAACTGAAATCTCAGTTCCTCACCTTTAAAATAAAGAAATTAAGATGTGTTAAATTCATGTACCAGGTCCACACAAGGAATGTAAACATTATGTTCTGTGTACAGGTACTAGAAAAGAAAGAGGATCAAGAACTGGATGGAGGGAGGAGGGAGGGAATGAAAAGCAAATGAAAAATGAAGTAATATGTGTTATGTATGTACTAGCAAAACATTTCAATAATAAAATAAAAATAATAATGAAACTGACCCTTTGGGCTTTGAATATTTGATTACCTAATTTATGTGAATTTTTCAGTACAGTGCCTGCTAATGGTGAACCTTCAATAAAAACTCATTACGCCATTTTTTCTTTTTGCATGTTGTATTACATCAATCTCATTCTTTAAAACCTTGCACATTTAAAAAAACTTATATGATTAAATGATACTTGAATTAGAAACCATGCTTTTGTTCTTTTATTCATTGGTGAGATAGTAAAGCATTCAGGAATGTGAAGTCCTAGTGCAAAACACAAACACTGCAGTCTCTGAACCTGGGTTTAAATTCAGACCTGCGGTGTGTTCTTCAGCACACTCATGACACTCCTTGTCACAGGTCCTCACCTGGAAACTGGAGATGATATGGTTCACATTTTAGTCAGTGGTTTTGAGGAATAAGTTAAAGTGCATAAAGGGCTTAAGGCAATGCTTGGGGCATACCAAGATTTCTTACACCTTTGTAAAACTTTCATATTGATACTCTCAGTCTAGATTTGCTTTGAGGTTTTCGTCCTTAGATATTTTAATTAAAAGGACTATAGTTAATTAAAAAAACTTAAAAGGAAGTCCTTGGAATTCAAGTAATATTGTGAAATTTAATCTTGCCTTTGTCTTTGGATTTGAGACTGAAAATTTTAACCAACATGTTGAATTGTCCATGTTCAATTGCCTCTTGGCTGATGCTCCTGGAAATTCTCAGATATAGCTTTAAAATCTAAATGTGAGAAATTCATGTTTTAAAAAACTGCTTTAAGTTTTGCTTTAAAAAATTATTTGTTGGAGAAACATATTTCATTCAAGAACAATGAGGTTGTGCTATAAATTTGATAATTAGAATTTAGCTATTATTATTATTTTTTCACATCTAACAACTAATTTTATTCAGTTGAATGTTAGGATATGAACAGTGATGAATTTAAAATTAAAAAATAGACTTTAAAGTAAGTGATAATTGAACATTAACTGTAATTTCAAATAATAAAATGTTTGAGCTTATTGCTGCATTAATAGAGCAATTAGAAAATGGAGTATACTAAATAAAAATAATTAATTTGAAACGAAAACATCAACACTTGCACTCAAGAATGTGCTATAAAACTTTTGAATTTTTTTCTTTTCTTATGGTACTGGGGATTGAACCTCTGCACTGAGCTTTTGTTTTCACTAAGCCACATCCTCATCCATTTTTTATTTTCAGATAGGGCCTTGCTAAGTAAATTAATTTAGTGCAATAAAGAAGATATATTAGTATAAAGTACTAAAGGAATTGTAGCTAAGGACTGAAAAGGAAGACACAAATACTAATGGTTTGGAAGCATCATATACAGAAAGGGCTAAAGTTAATGAATATGCTTCCTAGAAATCAAACTTGTGATCCTTCTGCCTCAGCTTCCCAGAGAGCTGGGATTTCAGGAGTATTCACCATGCCTAGCTGCATTTCCCACTTTTTATATCTTGTTTAATGCTTCATAAACATCAGTATTTGAGCCTTTCTTTTCAATCCTTAGTTACAGCTCAATTTAGTACTTTGTAATAATATCTTCTTTTATTGCACCAAGTGAAGTTATTTGAGGCCTATAATTTATAAAATTCTTTATCAATCCTCACTCTTAGCACTCTAATCTTCCAATAATTTATTGAACAGAATAGGTATTCAGAAATATGACTGAATTCTATGTTGCTCACTGACTTTTCCAAATATAAATATTGAATTTAATATTTGAGTTAAAAAGCATGGTTCTTATCATTGTGATTATTCCATAGTCTTTAAGGCACCACACACTTTCTGAATTAAATGCTATTTTAAAAAATACATATGTTTTTGATATATGTACTAGTTTCCTCAGGCTGCAGTAATAAAGCCAAAACTGAGGTGACTTAAAGGAGTGGAAATACAAAATATCCTCTCACCTCTTCCAGAGGCTAGGGTCAAGGTGTCAGGGAGGCAGAGCTCGCTCTGAGGCTCTGGGAAAAACAAGGTTCACGGGTATCTTAGTTTCTGGTGGCTGCTGGCAACTGGCTTCTGGACTTGAAGCTCTATGACTCCACCTCTGCCTCTTGTCACATGGGTTTCTTCCATGTGTGTCCCCCTCTTCTTGTAAGAACACAAGTAATACTAGATTTAGGACCCTAATCCTAATCTGGTATGGCCTCAATTCACTACATCTGCAAAGATCTTACTTCCTATATAGTACATTACTTTTTTCTTTTTTTTTGGTACCAAAGATCGAACTCGGGACCTTGTGCTTGTGAGGCAGGCAGTGGCACCACTGAGCTAAATTCTCGGCCCAGTACATTACTTTTTTTCTTTTTTTCCTTTTCTCATATTTTTTCTTTTCCTTTTTTCCTTTCCCCTACCCCTCCCACTTCCCCTGCTCCTTTAGACATTTTCTTCCTATTACACAATATCAAGTATACATTTTTAAAATAACAATATCAAGATCTAGGAGACATTACCACAGATTTTACAGAATTTAAAAGTATATGGAAAGCATATTACAAAAATCTTTTTTGAAATAAATTTGACAATTTCTAAGAAGTACCTTGGAAGACAAATTAATGAAACTAACTCTGGAGGAAATAAAAAATTTGAATAGCACCTATTAAAGAAA